GAAAAGGAAAAAGACGAGAAGGTCCCAGAGGCTGGTGTGAATCATTAGGTGACAGCAGAGCCTGCGACAGAGGCCGAGTTAGTCACGGAATGGATACTCCCGGGAGGTGCATTTGCACTGCTATCCCCGTTCGAAATATGGGCTTCCTCCACAATGACATGGTTCTCATCAATTCCCAGGAGAGACCGCGGCGGGTGAATCTCCTTCTTGCCGTTTGTCTTGTAATGGAGAACCATGTCTCCCGAAGTGCGCCAGAGGTGCGTGCGAATAGTTGCCAGAGTCATGTTTGGTGAACAGAGCTAGTGGGAAACGATCGCGATTAGTATGGCTAACTGTGTAAAATGAGAGAAATCCTTACCATCTTCTGGCAATATAGCTCGAGGTACTCCTCTGGTGGCATAACGGATTCCGCTGGTTCGTCCGGGTTTGCAGGGTCAATGCGCTCTGCGACATAAGCAAGAATCTTCTTCGCTCGGAGCATACGATTGGCATTGAGACGAGAGCCATTATTATTAGTGTTCGGATTACCCGGAGGGGCACCGTTAGGAGCCGGTCTGGATGAATAACCGACATTAGTTTCATCAACAACACAAGATTCCAGGGTACAGAAGATCGGAAACATACGGTTCGGGCTTGACGACTGGCGGCACGGTCTCATCGAAGGGCTTCAACACAAAGGCGATCTTGACCTGCTCTTTGAAAGGAATTTGATTCTAGGACCAATCATCAGTAAGAGGGAAAGGAAAATATCAGTCGAAATTAGACTTACCTTCAGAAGAAGCTCACCAAGCCAATGAGGAATGGATTTATTGAGCCTTTCGAGATCTTCGCCAATGCGGCCCACGCTACCTCTGTAGAGATCCGAGGCCACGGCAGTATCGCCGGTCTCTTCCTGGATGAAGACCGCAGTCCGAGATGGAATATCCAGTCGCGGGGTTTCATCCTCAGTACAAGGAAAAAGAGCAGTCTCCAACTCCCGATCTTGATTTGTAGCTAGGAATTCTTCATAATCATCATGAATGCGATCAACCACGCCACAGAGGTTGGGCTCATACACCTTCTCTTCCTTGATGGAGGAGATCTCCGACTCCTCGGCCTTTTCTTCCAATATCTGAGGCTTCGTGTCCGTGGAATTGCGACCTAACTTCTTGGGGAAATTCATTTGGAACTTCTTTCCAAATAGCGACTTCTTCCGCTCTTCCTTATCGGGTTCCGCGGGGGATTGAGGAACCCCTGGGTTTGAGGCTGCATCTGACGGAGACAGAAGAGACTTGTCGGTCTCTGTTTGTAGGGCTGCTAGAGGCCTTTTCGAGAAGTAGTCACTTGATGAGAAGGATGATGGTCCGCCATCGATATGGGAATTTGTGGGCACTGAGGCGTCAGGTGTGTCTGGTTCAAACCCTGGGAACGGAGAATTGCTCTGCGTGGAAGTGCTCAAATAGTTTGACGATGGTGTACCAGAGTTGATGCCAAAGCCGACGTTCGGGCTAGCGGTGAAGTCTGAGTTCGGACGCAGACTCGCTCTCCGATTAGGATTCGATATAGGTATACCAACGCTGCGAGGGATATCATCGCCAGGCACCGATGTACTCAGCGGATTCAGTCGAGCATTTTCCTCTGCTCGCGCAATAGCAGCCTGGCGGTATTCGTTATCTCGTCGGATTTCCTCGTCCACTACAGGAGCAAACAGCCAACGCAAAATCCATTTGCCGAGATTGACTGCATGTTGTTAGTATGACAAATAATACATGCGAAGCTTGACAGCAGAATAAAAGAAATAATCCAAGGAAAAGGAAACACACTTCTTTGGTCATCCCTAAACTGATAGAGGTTAGATGCCGGTAGATCGGTCTCGTCGGCATAAACTTCTGCGTCGAAGCAGCGATTGGGTTCCAAGATGACTGACAACCTGCCAGTACGCACGTCGATGGCACACCAGTGTCCAATGCTATCAACAGTGTTTACCTCTGATTCAACATCATCCATATGACGTTTGCCGAAGCTTTGGATGGGAATACACTAGGTTCATGTCAGTCGATGTCTTATACTTGTCAACTGAAATGTGAGCAAATCACCTTCAGCAAGTCCCAGAGAACAACTTCTCCTGCCGAATCCTGGGTAAGTGTACGCCTCCGATCATTCAACATCAAGCACTTGATCAAGCCGTGTTGACCTTCAATGGTTTCCTCGGGCTGTTGATGAACTGGGATCGTCAAGCCAATTGTCTCCAAGTTAGGCTCCGAGGAATTCAGCGTAGGAGCTGAACCACCGATGATTGATGTCGCTGATAACTGTAAAACAGCATTAGATGGAATCTTCTTGGGTCCCTTCTCTGAAGGGGTTGCAGGCACTGTAGCAGAGTCTATGGTAGGGGCTGGGTCGGGCGGCGGCTCGATTCCAACTGTAGTATCAACATCTCGCCAGCGGTGGATGCTAGACTTGGGAGTAGCTGTCCAGATGTAGTCTCCCGCCGCGACAACTTTGACAACGCCCTCGTGCTCTTGTAGCGCGGCGACGGAAAGGCCCTGGTCAGGGTCAGCAGACCCTCGCATGTCGGTCTTAGCCACCAAGCCAGATCGGTCACTTGAATAGAAGACGGAGAGATCAGGGTGGTCCGAGTAGAGAGACCACACGCTATCATTGTGCATGGTCAGGGTATTCATACATCGACCAGCCGTGAGAGACCAGATCTTAATTGTCTGGTCAGACGAACCCGTCATGATTGTATCGCCAGACTGGTTGATCATAATATCACGAATATTGTCCGTATGACCCACGAACTTGGTCACTGGCTTCCCGGACCTAGTATCCCATACTCGGACGACATTTTCAGGGCCACCGCTAGCGAGCACCGACGAGACGGCACCCAGTGCATAGACAGATCCTTTATCCGTGGAATCCTCTCCACCAGCATTGATGTTCAATACCTCTCCACCGCCATTCAAATCCCAAAGGTAAACTTTTTGATCGAGACCGCCCGAGGCAACCCAAGTGGCGTGGCTACTGGGGCTCGCCAAGGCCTTCACATAATCCGTATGTTTTCCAATGCGCTCCGGCACATCAGTGGACTCGGAATGTGGGCGCCAGAGTCGCACGGTCGTGTCGGACGAGGCGGAAACGAGCGCGGAATTGTCCTGTGCCAAGACTATGTCGTTGATCCAATGACTATGGGCTTGAACCTGGGTTTTGAAGCCGGTCGGGCTAGGCTTTTGATTAGGAGACGATGCGTCTTTCGAGGCAGACGAGGAAGGAAGAGGAAAGTCGAGATCCCAGGAACAAATCACGCCGTCGCGGCCCGCGGAGTATCTGGGAGAGGGGACGTCATATTAGTTTCCGTGCAACCCACGTGTAAGGGAGTCTGGTTTCCGGGAGATCAAGGTCGCAAACGTGGCAACCGTGTCAGATCTAGATCCTGTATCCTGGCATAACGGGGGAGAGATACTTACAGGATGGAGTTTTGGCGATCGACAGTCAGGCCATTGATCCCCAACCGGTGCCCACCGGGGGCATCAGGCAGAGGGAGGACTAGTAGAGTGATAGACACAGTCAGTGACCTGAGAGGAGACATACTGGATGCAACTTACCATAGGCGACCCTCTGGTGGCTCAGTTTTCGTGCCATACACGCAGCGTTGAAGGAATGAAACCAATTGCGGAGATGCGAATGCGGAGCTTATCTGCCCTCGAGGCCGATCGCACGTTCAATTTTGGTGGGGAAGGTAAACGTCACAGGACCATTCGCGTCAATCAAAAACAGAAAAGAAGTCAAAAGGTCAAGGGAAAACAAAGAAGCGAAGGGGAAATACTTAAATGAGGGGAAGTTCTCTAAAGTTGGAGACGCCAGGGGCTGTCAGTGGCTGTTTGGCTGTTTGGCTGTTGGGTTGTTTGACTGTTTATAACTACTTATTATGTTAATAACATATATAACATGTTGAATTAGAAGTAATACTTGTAACAATTACGCGAAATCTTTGTCTGTTTATTTAATAGTCCGGGAACCTCTCCGTTTCCCTTTCTGGAATGCTTCTCGGTTATTCCTGGCTATTTCGCTACATCTATAACTAAGACATATGTACACCCTTAAGACACACAATACAGATCCACAAGTTTTCTATTTCTGATTGAAACAATCCTTTAACTCCATCAAGAGGGTGGTGAACTACCCATGCCGAATGGCTTGATAGTGAGGGAGATTTGAGACCCAACAGATTTGCGCTGCGTTCCACAGTCAGATGCTCCGCTCGTTCTAAGGTTACATATGGAAGGGGACCTTAAGCTCATGTCGAACCCCTGATAGAGCAGCTTGGCTGCATCGCCAAGATAGGATAGGCTCGGTTTGGGGCTCTGGGAAGGCTGCAGTTCGCATCTTTTCGAAGAGCGTCTCACGCTCTGAAGCTGTACGGCTCTGGATATCTGTGATTGTATATGCGATGAGACTGGGTTTGCTAAGAAGGCAAGCTCTGATATGGAAGTTGCCATGTTGATGTCAACTCCGTTCATAGAGTGGGTGGTTGTCCGTTATTATCAAAATCAGGTTGAAGGCTATATATATTCTCTTCCAAGAGGCCCTTATAAGGTGTATTCTAAGCATTTTAGTTAACTAGTGGATAGTTAATATTATATACCACTATCAAGGCATACAACCAACATTCGAGACGAGATATACCTCATTCAATATAGATCCTTTATATAAGCTAGTAAGGAATATATACCTGAACGCGACATGCTCTCGTTATTGTCCGTTACCCTGTCACTCTAACCATCTATAATATATAACTATATCTCTATCATCAAAGCCTACCGAGTAAAAACAATATACAAAAAAAGCCTGTATCCTAATCTCTTCCCGTATAAAACCACCCTACCCACCTCCTTCAAACCCTAACCCAAAAAGAACCTCCAATCAAATCTACCATAAACGCTCTAAATCTCCGTCCACATCCAGCGGGTACTTCCACGAGATCGAAATCCATATAGAGTTGTAATCCCTTACCAACAGCCAATAACCTTGTTACAAACCCAGACATAAATACAGATACCAAGACCCGCTCCGTAGGCTCCCCAATCCTCTACCTCCTCACACCGCAGCGCCCACTGGCCGCTTTCCACCGTAACCAACGCCGCACGGTGTACTCCGTACGTCTGGCAAAGGGGCGGGGTTGGTACGTCATTGTCCACGCGGACGAGGTAAGCCGGGAGCACAGGCGGGGATATAGCGCTGAGAAGCCCAAAGCGCGGATTGAGGCGTTCGTTGTTGGGCCTGGTTTTGAGATCGGGGAGAGGGTGTAGTTGGTTGTTGAAGGGGGTAAGTAACTTAAAGTAAGTATAAAGCTTCTTTTTTGTTACCGGATGCATCTGAGGGAGTACATCTTTGAAATGGGAGAAATGGTTAGCTAGGTAGTTCCACAAGGTTGTTGTTCCAGGCTTTGAGTTCGCAGGGCATGATTTCCTGCGCAAAGAGCAGATGGAGGAAGTTCTGACCGCCGGGCAAGTTCGGAGATTACGCTGGATGCTTAAAGAACTAAGCAGTCCTAGCCAGGAAAGCAAATGACATATATAAGCAACTCGCTTTCTTGAATATATGCTCTTTCGGTCTTCTATATACCAAATATATACAAACCACAAGACCAGAAAGTATCTAATCAAAGGCCCTTCTCCGCCTGCACCTCCCGACGTCCCTCAAGGGTATTCGAAGCATATTGATAACTCCCAAGGAAAACAGCGCCACCAATACCAATCCACGTGATACGCGGCGTAATACCACGCCAGAAAGCACCGGGTCCTTCACGCGCAATCCCGCGCACAATCTCTTTGACCCGAACAGGCGCATCAACGCCCCCGTCTCCACGTCGCGCAAGCATAACCCGTGTCTTGATCACGTCTAGCGGGGTAGTTAGACCAGCTGCAATTGCGCCGGCGACACTACCAAACATGGCGCTCGTAGAAGCGGGGATCTGTGTCTCCGCGAGAGACGAGGCCGTCTCCTTGGTTCGCAGATACCGCTTGCCGTAAGCTTCCTTCATCGACTCCCACATCGTGAACTGCAGCACAGTGAAGGGGATCTCGCGGGCGATTGTGATTCCAGCTCCGCGGTAGAGTTCGCGGAAGACCTGGCTGTAGCCGCGCTTCGCTGCTGGGGTTGAGGATGCTGGGGTTGTGCTTGTTGGGGCAGCGTGTCGCAGGGACAGTATATCCTTCAGTGCGAGGAGACTAGAGCCGCCGAAGAGGCCGGCTTGGGCGCGTTGCTTGATTACTTCTGTTGGGACGCGGACGGCGCATGCGGCGATTTCGCCGAGGGAGGAGGCGAGGGAGTGGGTGAGGATTATGTGGGAGCGGGATTGAGGATTGGTCTTGCTGTTCGCGGGTTGGGGTGCGAGGAGGGTGCGCTTGACACCATCATAGACGATGAAGAAGGAGGCGGCGGAGGGAGCAGAGCCAAAGAGGACGGATGGGAGACCGGCGTAGATACCGCGGAAGGTTTGGCGTAGGGAGACTCGGTTTTGGGGCGCGGTGTGGTCGCGTGCTTTTTGGAGTCGGGTTTTGATGGTGTCAAGGGGGTAGAGGGAGCAGTCAACGGTTAGGCCTGCAATTGCGCCGGACTATATTGTTGCAGAGCCGTTAGAGGGATATTCCTGGGAAGAGCTTTGGAAAAGCTTTACAATTAATGACCTCGTCCACAAGGAGGAGACCAGTGGCTCCCCGTCAGGTTGTTGGGCCATCTTTGTATAGAATTGAATATGAAAATCGTTTTTATCACAAGCACATGGCCAACTGGGTAGAAGTAGGAAGTCGAGAACAGCAACGAAGTATGTTGTACAGAAGCGGGCAAAACGGAGACCTCTCGGGACCTCGGGAAGCTCCGCGGATGACTTGGCAGTTTCTTTTGGCCCGCGGTCAGGCCATCCGATATCGCTGATCTTCGCTATGTCAGGTTCAATCCCAAAGATATAGTATGTTGTATGTTTGTACGGAGTATTCACATTTAACTATTTACTGTTTAAGAAAATAAAGCCCCCTTGCACAAGTGTGACACCTTCATAAAAGAATGTCCTGACAAAAAGCAAAACACTTCGACATCCCATACCAAGTCTATCAGCAACATCGATCGTCGAGCCAGAGCCAATGCTCCGTTTTCTTCGAGATCTTGAGAAACTCAAGCGCGATAAAATGTCAGAGAAGTTTATTCAAGAATATCAACCCATCTCAAAACAAGGCCCGGGGAATGAGGAAACCGCCAAAATCATCTACAGTACTCGTAGGGAATCACACAGGAAACGCGAAAGGAAAAGGGACAAAAAGTGCCACCCCATTCTCAAAGGATAAAGGGGATATATAGACACGAGGAGAAATTGATACAAAGAAGGGATATTATTTAGCCTTGGTCGCTTTGCTGGTGACGGCAGCACTTTGCGCGGGGGGCTCGAGGACGTGGGTGTGGCCAGGGGCACTGATGGTTTCACCATTCTCGTCCTGCCGGCATGCATGGATGTTCCTTACCCAGTCATCCGACAGTACTTCGTCGAGTGTCGCTCGGTTTTTCGGGTTGGTCTTCAGCATGCGGCCAACGATGTACCGACTTTCCCGCGGCAAAATCCGGAGAAGTCGCCATGGGCCCTTGATGACTTCCTGGCGCTGCCCAGAATTCTGTGATGATGTCGGAACCGGTGGTGCCTCTTTGCTGGTCGTGCGGGTGGGCCGCTCATGGGGGCCGTTGCTGGTTTGGCTGATCTGCTTCTGAGCAGTATCGGGAGAGCAATCACCGTCCCTCTGCGAGGGCTCTGGTTTGTTTGCATCTCCGTTTTCATTTCCGGTTGGATTCTGCTCCGATCCAGACTGGTCGGAAGGACCACTCGAGCGTGGAGTCAGACGCTTATTGTCCTGGCCTTGGGAAGGAAGATCAGGTGTCGACTTGGGCCGACGGCGTGAGTCGGGTTCAGCAACCGGGGTGCCGGGGGTCGGGCTGGAAACGAACAACTTGTATGAGTTGTCGGTCATGCGCGGTTGCTTCCACGGGAAGCGGCGCAAGGTCATACAGCAGAAGATGATCGCCAGCGACCAAACATCCGTGGGGCGGGGGTCATATTTCTTTTCATCGTAGACCTCCGGGGCAAGATAAGGATCTGAGCCAACGATACCTGCTCATACAAATCAGTAACCATCAACTATGGCCGAAAAATAATAATACAAGAATACATACCTGAAGCAGGGACAATGTCGTTCTCAAAAGGATAGCGGAACACGACGGCACTTCCGAAATCAATGAGTTTCATGATGCCACGGTCGTTCACCACCACGTTATCCAGTTTCAGATCTCGATGGGCCAAACCCATGCCATGGAGGTACGCTACACCGCTCAAAATCTGTTTGAAAGAGCAGGCAATCTCCTCCTTGCCCATTTTTCCCGTCATCACGATAGCAAACAGATCAAACGGTGCATATTCCATGACCTCATACCAGCGAGGGCCTTCTTGGATGATATCCAAGGTCTCGATGATATTGCCATGGTGCAAGGTGGAGCCAATACAGAACTCTGCTGTCACCTTCTTGGAATATTCCTTCAAGCTCTCCCAGTTATGACGGTCTCGGAATTGCTTCACTGCAAAAGTGACACCGTCACTATTGCGCTTCAAAAGACGCACGGAACCGCCAGCTCCAGATCCGAGTACCTTGCCCAGCTTTCCATACTTGGAATTGAGGCCATGATCATCGGCAAAAGGAACATTATCTGGAGCCATTTGACAGGAAGTGGATCTTCCAGAGGATCGACTCGACTTCTTAGGCATGGATGCCGGGGATTCAGATCGCTTGTTGCGATGGCCCATCTTGAAGAATCGTTTCAGCTCAGACATGGAGCCATGATGTTGGTGGCCATGGTTCTTGTCGCCATGCTCCTTCTTGGCACTACCAAATATGCTCCGCTTGTCACTAGATTTACTGAGGTCACTTGCGCTGGTGGATCGGGCAGCGCTCGGACGGAATGAGCGCTTGACATCCCGACCGCTGAAGATAAACCGGGGATCCAACTGGGCAAGGTTTTTAGACTGAGGTGGTCGCTTGTGGCGGGCATATGGATCATTAGGTTCGCCAATAGGGGTCATAGCCCCTGGCGGGGTGAGCGACTCCTTTGGAGTGGAAGGGGGGCTTTCTTCTTGGGAGCCCCCGTCATTTCCTATGAAGAATTGCGCACGGTGTTTCGGTAGTTGAATAGAATGAGGAGCTCGCTCTGAACCTTCGCTTTTGTGGTGGGCAGGTGATCGGTAGACAGGGGTCGGGAGGATGAGGCGGGTCGAGGAGTGCCGTTCTTGTCGGTCGAACCAACTGGAGGTGAAGCTTCCGGGGTGAAATTGGTGTCTAGGTGGGATCGGCTGGTAGCTTTCAGAGATGCGCTGTCGCTGATTCTGCCTTCCCGAGAATGGGTTGCAGCTGGAGTAAGAGGAGGTGACTGGACTGCAGAGACTGGAGGAGACGCATGTGGAGAGGCAAAGGCACCGGTGACATGGCCGCTACGATCACTCGACTCTCGAGAGCCAACCTGGGGGGATCCAAAGTTAGTATGATGACGAGATTGCCACGGTTCACTCCGTCTCCGCCCAGAGCCCGGTGTTGGACGTAGGGAAATGAATATCATTTTGAAGCATGAAGAGACTGGAAGACTCGGAAGAACATCCGATGGCAAATTAGAGGTAGATGTGACATACCCTGGAGGAAGGAAGAGACATTGGGTCAAAAGAGAAGTTGCGCAAGCGCGACTCCTGAAGCTGTGCGCCCTGCATACTCATCGCCAGCGACCGTAATTGTTCCTCGTCCGTAGGTGGGTTTTGCCCGTATGATAGAGATTGTTGCGGTTGCTCTGGTACAGGGGACAACTCGGATCGGCCGGGTTCGATCTCCTCTGTGATGGAAGAGAAACGGACCTGAGTAGGCGGAGCTCTCGACTTGGCGTCGGCGTCACCGGGCTCCGGAGCCTGTCCGGGGATCTTGGCGGGGTTGTGCATAGTTTGGGAACCTGAGGGGATAGAGACATGCGTCAGACGGTTGGCAGGAATTTGGGACACATCATCACACCCGATCAGCATGGCAGCCAAGACATACCTGAATCCATCGGGTTGGTGGGTGTTGAATCAGTTATTTCAGACGTCATAGTCTTCGACGCCCGCTCGGAACGTGAGACACATTCCCCTCACGGTGGGAGCTTTAAAGGATTAGATACCGAACTGAGTACCAGTTCAAATACTATCAAGGTCACCGAATTGGACGATTTTCTTCAAATGGAGTCTTAAGAAGTCAAAAAGAGTGATGCGAGAGGCAAATCTTTCCCTTTTTTTAACTTTTTTTTTTTCCCTCTTCCCGCCGAATGCGATCAAGAACCCGGGTTTGGTCAAGGAATTCAGGAATCCGGGTATGCCGGGTCTGAATAAGAAGGATATGAGAACAGGAAAGGGTGGAAAAAGTGGAAGAGATAAAGAAGTAAAATGAGAAAGCTGAGAAGAGGGGAGATGTGAGAAGTCGTGGGCCTCAGGCCAACTTGATTTTTGGGGGCGAGTGGGGGAAGACTGTTCAGACTATGTTGTATGTATTTTGTACTTTGACCTCATTTACTTCTTTATCTTCCTTCTTTCTATTCTTTTTTTTTGTTTCTTCTTTTTTTTTTTTCATTAGATATGGGGGAATATATAGGTCAAATATACCCAAATTTATTCAAAATTTACTCCAATTTTACTTAGTGAATACCTTACCTCATAAGGTCGGATGGTCGCGGAGAATTGAAGGATGATGTCGACCCGTGCCGACTTCCCGGACCAGGACCCCTACCCTCTCTAAGCTTAGGGAGTACCCCATGTGGACGTATGGAAGTACCTAAATAGGGTATGGAAGTAGTATGGATGTTACCCTATGCAGGTGTACATTCTGTGATCTTACATGATCTGGAACATTACCTCAATGGGGTTAGTAGATCTGCTGACTCCACTGGATTTCCCTTTTCCTCCTCTCTGTATATATCTACATCGGGGGGCTAGACCATCTTTCTTGAGAACCTCCAGACTCTCATTACATGCCAAGTACTATGTCTACGTTATATTGTGACACATAAAACATTCTTGGCCATGCCAAGGTCGGACTGAGTCATACACCTAGCCATATGCCAAGTTCTCCGCTCCGCGGAAATGTTGAAGTCGGTGACCTCATCTGTAGTCTTCCCTCTTGGCTGTCTGGTCTTGACTGATAAAATGGTCGACATCTCACTGTTGGATGGTAAAATGGCGTATGATCACATGTCAGTCAATTAATTCACATTGCAGTGATTACTAATGGCGATGAGCCGGTTTATATTTGTCATTTTAGGTCACTCTACACTCTACCTTGGTAGTTAATTCCCCCCCCTAAAAGATTCGAAGTAACAAAATAATTTACAATGCAAAATATCTCTTGAATTGCGATCAAATAGATATGACATACAATTTGGGAAAAAAAAATAATAATAATCGGTATCGTACAACAGGAGGAAGAAAATCCCCCCCCAATTTCGCAGAAAACGCCCAATAAAAGGATCCAAATCAAAAACAAGTAGAGCCCCTTGGAGCACGACCGGAATGACCAATAATTATACAAGTTGATTGTTCTTGTGATATTCAGGGAATGACCTGGATACCGATGGACTTGGCCTGGGACATGACACTCTTGCACAATCCTTCCAGGGACAAGCCTGATAACCGCGTCTCGGTGTGCTTGAGCTTGGCGATCTCGTAAACGTGTTTGAGGGAGATCTTGCCACAAACATCGTGACCAGGGTTCATGGCACCACGCAGTCGGTTCTTCCGGGGTTCGACATTGGCCGCGTTGAGCAGGAGGTAGGTGGTAGTCGGGGTGCGGAGTTCGAAGGAGAAGGATCGGTCAGGACGGACGGTGACACGCGCGGGAATGGGAACACCAGTGTTGATGTGAGCTGTGCGGGCATTGAATTCCTATAGTGAGGTAGTTAATATATATTACAGGTTCAATCTGCTAATTTCCCTTGAGGGTAAAGGGTAAAGGGTAAAGGGTAAACAAATACCAACCTTGCAAAAGTCCATGGACTTAACACCTTTACTTCCCAGAGCTGGACCAACAGGTGGACTGGGACTGGCCTGACCAGCTCCAACAATGAGCTTAACAAATTGATCCTTGGCCAATACGTTTCGTGCCATGATGAAAGAATAATGTTGGAGAATAAGTTTCAAGGCCAAAAGCAGAGAGACAAGATGAATTCGGAAGATTTGCAGATTTTCAGTTGAGGACGCTGATTGGTTGAAGAGTGGGAAGCGAGCGAAAGCAGTCCAACGTCATAAGATGCACTCCTTTCTCTGCTTTTCGGGGGATTTTTGAAGTCTTTTGGAATTCATTTGACTCTTTTTTATTTTTGAATTTTCATATTCTTGATATTCTTAATATTCTTAATATTCTTGATAATCTTGATAATTCACAATATCCAGAATCGATTATCTGGTGTATCTCCCTCTCATCCGAATAGTCCCCATTGACATCCGAACTAGAACTCTCTTGGGCCCCGCGCGTCGATCTTCCCTTCACCTCCCTTTTTCCTCTTTTCTTTCCTTTCTTCTCCAGTTTTAATTTATTAATTTCAACCTTATCGAAAACCATGAACTGGTTGAAGTCGACGTATGTTCCGTGCCCTTCTCTATTGTGGTTCCACTGACCGATTTCCGTGCGGGCAGTCTCTCCGCCGTGGTGGGCACCGAGGAGCCTATCTATGGCCCGGAGGCTCTTCAGTCTGTTGCGAAGCAGACCGAGACAACTCCCTTCTCTGATGTGAACAAGGAGATTCTGCGCTGGCGCGCATTCTCTTACACCAATGTCGAAACCCAGACCTTCTACATCATGGCCGACAACGGGACCCTGGTTTTCGTTCAGGTTATTTACAGCAACATCGTGTAAGGAACACTCAGAGCTTAAAATTTCTACTCTGGAATCAAACCCCACAGCAGCTGACTCTGATTCTTGATCCCGATTATAGCGGAATCCACACCACCGCCCAGTTCAATGTGAAGGTTTTCGACGTCAGCGGAAAGGGCGACAACAAGTGGTTCTCGGATCCGCTCTCCAACTTCATGTTCGACGAGAACATGCTCTCCTTCGGCGCCGACAACCTGTCGCTCACCCTGAACGAGGAGGGCAACTCTTACACCATCAAGTCTACCGTTAATAGCGGCGCCTTGGTCGACATTAAGTTCTCCCAGACCGCACCTGGTTTCGTCGTCGGCAAGGACGGAACCTCATACTTCGGAACCGACCCCAAGAACCCATGGGGTTCTATGCGTCATGCCTTCTGGCCCCGCTGCGCTGTTGAGGGTAGCATCACCACCAAGGACCAGACCTACGATCTCGGTGGTCGTGGTCTCTTCATCATGGCCCTGCAGGGCATGAAGCCTCACCACGCTGGTAAGAAGCCCTACACAGAAAGTAACAAGCGGAACCGCCCCATGCTAACAAAAACACAGCTGCCCGCTGGAACTTCATCAACTTCCAAACCCCCCACCTACTCCGCCGTTATGATGGAGTACACCACTCCCCCCTCCTACGGCTCCACCACGGTCAACGTCGGCGGTATTGTCAAGGATGGCGAGGTTATCTACGCCGGCACTACCAACAAAGCAACCCACACAGAAACCGGTCAGGACGAGGGCAGTGACTGGCCCGCCCCCAAGTCCATCAAGTGGGAGTGGAGCGGCAAGACAACCGGCGACAAGGAGCTCACAGCCGAGGTGAATGGCGCCCTCGGCTCGCGACTGGATCGCATCGACGTCATGGCCGAGGTGCCCGGCTTCATTAAGAGCATTGCTGGCAGTGTTGCCGGTACTCGGCCGTACATCTTCCAGGTATGCACCACCTTTCCTCTCATTTCTTGTGTATCGGAGAAAACAAACATATCTAATAATCTTGCACAGTACTCGCCCCAGGAGAAGCTCTCATTCAAGCTGAAGCTCGGCGATGAGGAGATCACCGAGGAGGGAATTATGTTCTCCGAGTCGACCTTCATCTCGTAAAGGCCCCGCCTAATTTGCGTACATAGGACCTCATTCTCCCCTGCGGGACCTGATTGTTGGCGTTCATTGTGATGATTTTCCTGATGCTACATTTATGTCTAGAGGACTGGCTTGACTACTTCTTCCCTTTCCCTTCATGCGGACCAGATAATCCACAGACTGTATACATGATACTTAATGCTATTTTGACTATATCCTGAACATATTTTAGTAGATACGCGAGGGGAGGCGGAGAGAGAGTACATCCGGGTTCATTGGGACTCGTAATAGTTATAGCTAACTAATGATACATGTTACATGTAGGATGCAACGAGGTAAAAGGTACAAGTGATTGTACAGGAAAGACCGGACGTGTCCGGTGCTAATCCTCAAAATAAGTGTAGAATGTACAGAGAAAGATGCAAAAAGAAAGATACAAAGCTGTATACAGTACAATTGAATTCAGAACAAAAAATAGAAAGCCGCCAGCGGTGTTTATGAACTCATCCACCAACAGTAAATCTAGGAACTTGGAGAAAAAGAAACAAAGTAAACAGACACAAAAACAAGTACAGATCAATTATCAACCATCAACTGCTCGCCTTCATCAAGAAGGGTCGTAACCCGCGAGAGATCGGAAATCATCTTACGGCCATGGCCGACCAGCAAGAGCTTCTCGGCGTTGGCAGGGAGACCCAGGTAGGTAGGAGGTTCACGTTCAGGGAGGTTGTTAACCCAGGCGACGAAGTCGCGCATGCTAGTGGACTCGGGAAGTGTCAAAAGGCTGTCGTTCTCTACACCGGAGACGAGCTTGTAGCCGTCTTCGAAGGCGGCGGGTGTAAGGAAGCTATTGACGAGGTTCTCGAGCTGCTGGTAGTCTCCTGCGTCGTCGATTTTACCACCGTACATCTCTGCGACGAGAGTGCGGATCATCTCCCATGGAATCTTCTGTGGAGCAACGTTGGAACGGCCTTGGGATACTGAATCGACCCAGTGGTCGATAATGTAGGCTGAGCATTCGTACTGAGGGAAAGTGTTAGCATCTGTATGAATAATAAATGGATGGATGGATGTAGGGTACTTACGTCGCTGTCGTTGAACTCCCAGAAGCCCTTCCACCCAAGGCTTGGTGCATAGCGGAGTCTTTCCTGGACGACGGCGTGCAAGAAGCAGAGCAAAAGATAGACACGGGCCTTTTCGACAGGGGCCTTGCTGGCTCTCACATTCAGCGAAGAGAGGGAATCCTTCATGTTTGCACGCACACCCGCGGGCTGTTCGTACATGAGCACACGCGAGGCCCGGATCAAATTGACAGGGATCTTAGGGCTGGACTCCATGGACAAGAAGAGGCGGAATTCCTTGTGTGGCTTGAGAGAATCCAGTCTCTTCTCGAGACTCTGCAGCCAAGCAGGCGCCAGGTGGACGTTCTTGACCAGCACCCAGTTACCGACTGCAGCTGCATTGCTGATGGCCTTGTCTGCGCTTTCGAGACCTTCGTTGGAACCCATGGCGATGTTAGCGCAGGTTGCGCGTGTGGCTTCGACCAGAGCGTCGACCTTGTAACTGGCATCGAAGCCAGGGCTGGAGCTGAGTGCGATGGGTCTGGTTGCAGTGACTTGGTCAACTACATCCTTGAGGTCGGCACCACCCTCGAAGAGCTCGCGGCCGAACACCGCCCCGATGAAACGCTCGGCGGAGGGCACGAATCGGTCCATGCGGCAAATCTTGATAAGGAGCAAGGACCGAAGGAGCTGGTCGAGTTGCGACACACTCTCGTCCCACATGACCGGAACGACGTTCTCTGCAAGCTCCTCGCCGAAGAAGCGATCCCACTGTTCTTCGGTGACATTCGAAAGATGATCTCTGAAGAGGGACGTGTTCGCCAACTTCGTCATCACTTGGTCGCGGGAGTCCACGGCAGTTGAAAGATCCGTGTCCTCCACTGTCTCATCAAGGACGCGATCGAGAATCGTCCTGTCCATTGGGTACGGAGTAGCTTGAGCGAGCAGGATGGCAAGGGTAATGCGATCCTTTTGAACGAGACCCAGCGAGGTACGCTGGTAGGTGTTGATAAACAAGTCCCTAACAATAATCTGGACACGCGCAGAATGATCCTTCTCCTGAGCAAGACGTTTGTTCTGGTAGAGAACAGAGTTGAAAATATCGACAAAGTACTGTAGGGAGAACTGGTAGAAGTGGTTGATGTGATGAAGCTGTTCCAAAACCGCAAAGACGGCACTGCATGAACGAGCAATGATGCTGTAGTTCTGCGTAACGTTATCGACCTCGAGCATAACGCCTTCGGTCTGGTCCATCTTCAGAGAAATATCGGCAGCCTCCTTCTTGAGAGTCTCAAGAGTTTCAATGACATTGTCATCGTCAAGGATGTTACCGCGGGACTCGTTGAGAGCTTGCAAAAGACGCTTCTCGAGTTGTCGAAGGTGGACCTTGAACTCTCCTTGCATCTTGACGAGATTGTTTCGACGCTCATCGACATCGGGTCGCTCGAATTTCAGGACATCGTTCAAAGACTGTGTCTGCAAACTGCTCTGGGTGACAGTGAAGTTGACGAAGGTGGTACGACTGCAAATATCTGGCGGGAACGAGGCAGATGGATCGCGAGTTGACAGGAAGAGCTTGAAGGATGGCGAGAAATCGATTTCTTGCTTGCCCAATTGAATGAGGACACGACCACCAGTCTTCTGGTATTCCTTGTTGAGGACGTGATTGAGAATAGGGTCCAGATGCTCGGCATCCTGGATAAGGATGGGGTTTCCGAAACGCAAGGCACTCTCCAATTGTTTGACAAAGGAATCGTCCAAGAAGCTCGTGACAGTAAGCTTGCGTTCTTTGCTTTCCTTCTGCAAGAATTCTGTAATACGGCCAGATGGATCAACAATAAGGGGGTATCTGTTGAATCTCTTGAGGATGATCGCGTTCTCTGTGCAAAGGTCATCAACGGGAAGAGAATGACTCTGCCAGGTCAGACGCTCATCAGCATTGGACAAGTATTCCGTGATGGGATTGTGAGGCTTGTACTGAATGCCAGAGGCCCCCAGTTGGTGGACCCAGTCCTCAGCCATTGCCTTACGGAATTGCTGATCGTAAAGACCAGCATATGCAAGGAATGCAGCTGCAATGAGGACATCGCCAACAAGTGTGCCGATCTGAGTTTCGAATGACTTGCTTCCATCTTCCCAGCGCCCACGCTCAGAGGACAAACTATCAAGCAGACGAACACTGCGGTCGACCTTGAACTGAACTCGGTTCATCTCGGTCTTGATCGCCTGCGTCTCACTGATAAGAGCCGCGTACTCGACCTTGTAGGTAGCGATGCTGCTTTCGAGGCCGTTGATAGTATTTTCGATGGCCTGAGCTTCGGCCTTGGTTTGCAGGGCCTGCTCCTCGAGCTGGTCCACCTCGTCACGTAGAGGGCCAACACGATCAAGGATGGCAGAGTAGTTGACTTGGGCTTCAACCCATTGCACGAGAGGACCACAGGCCTTACTAGCACGGTTGACTCGCTCATAGGTGAAGTCTTCCTTCGAGAGGAACTCGTTTTGCATCTTGGTACGGTGTCTGCGCGTCATCTGGCGCTCGTTATCGTAGTTGACGATACTGGCAATGAAGTCATCCCGGCGAATGAGACCTTGTATTGTCTTCCAGCTGTCGACAGTGTGACCGAGGAGTGTGCATACGGCTTCCAGGGCAAGTCGGACGCTGGCCGGGGGGTTACCCATAGATCGAACTTCCGTGAGGTGTTGACGCTTAATGTTGCTGACACTCTTCTGGGCTTCCAGGACAGCGGGTTCAGCCCGGGCCAGATCGTGCAAGACAACTTCCTTCCGAGTTGCTACTTCCTTCTCTTGTATCTCCAACGCGGCCTGCACTTCCAACGAAACGTGCTTCCGCTGTTCTGCCTCCTGCTGATCAGCAACCATACGCTGCAATTTCTCGTTCGCTTCCGTGTCCTTCTTCTCCAATTGTGTCTTCTTTTGTGCGAGACTAGCTCGAAGGTCGCTGACTTTGTCGACGGTGTCGTGAAGCTTTTCGAGACCAATGTTCAAGTGACGCTGTTGCTCCTCGAGATCCTCACGCTTCTCGTTGAATAGCTTGACGTACTGCGCAACGAAATCCAGATAATGGCGAGGGGTGAGGAAAGTCGCCCGGCCCTGTTGCTTCTGAAGTCGGCCGTTGAAGCGATGCAAAGAGTGGTGAATGTACACCATGGAATTGACAACAGTGTCTCTGTGTGATGCCGGGAGAGCCAACTCGCGGTACGCCACTGGGATGCTATCAGGCGAGATGAAGTTTGGCTTGTCCAGATCGACCGATTGAGTCAGCTCAGAGCCGACCTGGAACAGGGCTTGGTCAGACCAGTCACCCATCCAGTTCAGGACACAACGGTTGAACAAGGCGGGACTAGTAGCTGCCTTTGAAGATAGGCCTTCCTCTGGCGGGTTCATGGTGAACACAACGTGCAGGTTCTTCACAATTTGCGAGGTGAACCACTTGTATAGCTCCTCCTGCGAATCGAGGAGCAAGCCTTGACGCTGGGCACCCTCTTTACAAGCAGTCATCAACGAGGAGAATTCATCGCCCTCGAAGAGACCGGGGACTTCGGCGTTTGCAAGCAAAGTGTTCATGCGTTCCAGGAATCCAGAGTCAAGGACGTTCGACTCGTCCATGATGAAACAAATCTTTTCGCCCTTGCATCCTGCCCGGCGAAGAACGCTGCGCAGATCATCATCGAAATCTTCCGAAGAATACTTTCCGTGTACCTTGATCTGGAAGACCTTCAGACCATTCATCCAAGCGACGAAGCGAGATAGGGTTGTCTTTCCACTTCCGCTTACACCGATGAGAATGAGATGACCTTGAGGCTGGCGGAAGACTCGATCGATGCGTAGCGCGTGCTCAAGGACATCGTTGAACAACACAAGTGGAACATCCACTTCTTCTTCGCAGAAGGTTCTTAGACGTGCCTTCACGAATTCACGCAGGCTCTCCTGTTCGACCGG